AAACTATCCAGTAGTTTTTGTCATGTCCTAGCCTATCTACCATAGGAATATGAGCGAAATCGAATTTTCGACCCTTGCCGCGAAATTAAGAATTCGTCTGATATTTTACAGGCAGGCACTCTTAATTATTTTTATATATTGCAGGATGTTACTTAACCCAGTATGGAAAGTTCTTATCATTGTAGAATGATGGTGGCCTTTTGTCCTTCAGGATGGGGACACAGTCACAAATTTTTGTTGCCGCAGCTGTTAATACTGATGCGTCCAGTGTGTTGTTCCCATATAAAGCTTGAAGACAGGCCACACAGTCTCTGATGAACTTGTGCACTATGTTCTCAGCAGGCTTGCCTTTACTTCTTTGGAGTTCTGGTGGTATGGGAAATTTGAACGTTTCGTAAACTTTATCCTTTGGGGATGAAGAGGTTGTTGGTGCAGCTGCTGGTGGAAACTTGGTGTCATCCAAAATGGATATACTGCATGCTTGCTGCAAGGGAAGGTTTGTTTTTTTTTATTGTAAACAGCATTGAACACTTAGTAAACACAACCTGTTGCTGACAGTAATAAATATTATGTGAAATAATCGAACCAACATTCAGCAATGTGCAGTTTATGTAGGCGATACAATTTGATTGTCGATATTCACATCCTTCGCTGTGTGGAAAGGAAATTGATAGCCCAAAACACCAAACTGGGAAAGTGCAGGAAAACCCTGCTCTTTACTTTTTGAATATCAAGAATCCTTGTGCTAATATCACAACAGAAATATTAAAAAGATATGATTGACTTTAAATTGATCATTTACAGTCTATAAACCAGGTGAAAAAAGATGTTCCGTATTAACACCTCTTCACCAGAACTATCAAGATCAATGAAATCTCTCATCATTTCAACCGGCAAACAAATATTAACATTAATTTTTTTGTTTTAGTATGCCAAAAGATAACAAAAGAAAAAAAAGAAAAAAATAACAGAACCCAGAGGCCTAAAGATGTAGGTCACTTCCTTGTCAAAAAAACTTTGATTTCGTACACATGCCAACTCAAAAATGTCATGATAAACTGACACGATGCTTAGTGGAAAGATAGGCATGCTTTCATGTTGCAAATGCCTTTTTGAGTAGATTGGAGCTAATTTAGCTCTTACCCATGCTGGAAATGTCAAAAAGTCTAAAAAATGCATTTTTTGGCCTAAATCTCCAGATATAATGTCACTAAGTTTGTGAATTTTGGTCTACATGTCTAAAGAGGGGTGGTATTGGTGAAAAGTAAAGAGGGTGTACAGAATGCTTGGATAATAACTTCTGATCTGCATGCTTATGAATTGTTCTTACCAGCTACTACATACATGTATGACCTTAAAACTACCGTGTGCATGTACATGTACGCACTGTACATTAGCAATTTGCCTTAAGATACATTGAAATAAATATTAATTTTGGATGGTAGGTGGATGTACCTCGACTTCAGTATCATATGTTTCGTCAGAATCATATGTTTTGTCTGAGTCGACAATGTCCTCCTGACTCGATATTACGATTTCATCACACCTCTGGATTTGTTTCGAAACCCATGATTCGAAATTAAAAGATTCTGATTCTTGTTTGCTGAAATCCTGTTAATTTAATGTAACATATTTAAGTTACATGTATGCATATCGGAAATAAATTTTGATTTTATATTATGCAATGCATAGTCAGATGTTTACTTCTGTCAGTGGAATTTTGTCACAAGGGTGACTAATGTGTTCAACAAATTAAATGTATAAAACATAACACAGCCTACAAGTTCTTGCTGTACTGTGTAGAGTGAAATTTATGATTTATTGAAAACCAGAAAATTAGTTTGGTATAATTGCAAGTTACAGTATTTCATGTTCCTCGACAGAATCCTGGTTTATTGACCATGTAGTTCCATTGGTAATCAACAGCTAAATTGACAGCTGGAATGACTTTACATTATGCAGTCTAGGGCAACAATAATTTCTTCACATTGTGGAATTATTGGTCTCATCATACTTGTTGATGTCTCATCAGTTCATTCAGCCCTTTCTTATAATAAGGATGTCGCAGATTTAAACATTTGTCATACATTGTTAGTGATTTGGGGTTTTAAAGATTATTTGATTGGTGTGGTAGATTTTCTTTTTAACAAGTTGTTTTAACCATTCATAAATCAAAATATAGAGAGCAGACTTCACAGTGCATATACATATATCAACTGTACTGTATGTGATGCTCCTGCTGATTCTCCTTTTCTTACAGGGATGGTAGTGGCTCCTGATTTCTGTAAAGGTAAACAATGCTGCATATCAATAATTTCATAGCTGATTTTAATGTCAATTAAATTGGTATTCCATTTCAATGGTCAATAGTCATATTATGGCAGTATTTACCCTCTCCCTGTCTTTTACCCCCCCCCCTTTTACCTTATTTGATGCTCCTGCTGATTCTCCTTTTCTTACAGGGATGGCAGAACTCTCCTGATTTCTATAAAGGTAAACAATTCTGTATTAAAAGAGTATTAATCATTTCATTGCTAATTTTAATGTTATTCTTGTCTTTGGTATTCCATTGCAATTCTCAAAAGTCATACTGCAGTGGTATTTAGCCTCCCCCTCTCTTTTAACCCCTCCCCCCACCCCCATCCCTTTCATGGGCCCTGAAATTCAAGAATATTTCCCCTCTCATTTTGTTATGGAAAATTCTTCCTCAACATCATTGGTGAATTTTTGATCGAAGGCCAAAGACAGAAAGGTCTTTGTTACAGTGAGCCACCTCAAATCATAATATACGTTACATGTTGTGCAATCTTACCACATCTTCCAAAAAGTCAAAAATTTTCTTTCTAAAAGAAAATTCCTCCACGCTTGGAAAAAGATCTTGTAAGTCAGCCCGTCTCAAATCAAGAAACATTTCTCCATCCATTTTACTACCTGTCACAGTGAAAAAGTAGCTGAAATTATATTAAGAGATAAGACCATGGAAAAGGAGGAACAAGATTTTTGTACTGCACTCACAGGAGACATTCAATGTGAAAAGTGTATTGACGATGCAATTTAGTCAGTCATCTGATGCAAATTTATCGTGACACATTGCAACCTGTGCTACACTGGGCACGCGGCTTGCAAGTTCGCGCAACTTCGCCCAAAAATATTTTATCAAGAAATACTCTCATTTTCATATTTATAAACAAGGTGCACTGATAATAGGCTTCTCGAATTAGAATAAGCATAGATTAAAAAAAGTGCATAGTTTTAAAACTACACAGCAACTTGTTAATTTTTACTTGAACATGTAACCGATGCACGTGGTTTACGCGCGTGGAATCACGTAAACATGTGCTTGAGTAGGGCACGGTCTATCATCAGGAAGTTTCTGAACGTATAATAAAAAAAAAAAATCTGTTTCTGTTAAGAAGTTACATCCAAGTCGATTTCTCTACTTTAAGTTCTTTCTTTTATGCGCTATATTTTGTTGACTTGATTCAGCTTAATGTGTAGCCAATGCCGACAGAGTTTTCTTCCATTCAGTATGTAATAAAATGAATGAGACTTGCCTTTGATAACAGCACAGATGTTTTCTGGAATTCCATTTAATATTAACCATTCCACCAAAGTATCAGAATCATAATTTTGAATGTATGAAGCCATATCGCCGACTATTAAACAGCCGCACAAATTCACTGCTCGCAACTTGGAGATGAAGTGGAGCCAACGCTCCCAAACTTGCAGCTCATTCAGAGATGGCACGTGAACCGTGTCAATCTGATTGGCTAACTATTTTTAACAGGTTACCAAATCGATTCTATTGGTCACTTTGCCACGTTTCACGTGGTAAGCACTGTTTCACGTGGAATTGTGTAATATTATTGGCTAATGATTCTGAGACTTTGCTTTCGCCTTGTGGTTGTGAATATTTGTGTGTGAATGAACATTTGCAAGGAAAAGCATGGCGTGGAATTGTGCTATTTGTGGCTTTACATGCCTGCTCTTTTCTTTTTTACTCTCGCACTACAGTTCCAGACATGCTAACGATACATCATTTACAATAAGGTGTAACCTAAATGGATGCGAAAGAGAATATAGTAATGTTAAATCCTTCGTGCGACATGCCTCGGGAATACACATTGTTTTCTCCAATTGCCGCAGGCCATCTGAAACAGAAGGTGAACCGATATTCACAGTGAATGCAGCAGCTTTCCATGTAGAAGATGATTCAGGTATGAATCACAAAAGGAACGCACTTATACATTAAATGGGAATAATACCTTTGTTAGCAAACAGAAGGGTTTATATCCAGGGAGGGGGCTTAAACGTGGGATTTTACGGTATATAATTGAAGAGTGCGTGTGTGTGTCTGTGTTGGGGAGTGGGGTGTGGGCTAAGACAATACGCCCTTTACGGAATTCTTATACCTCATGTTTCAAAACGAACACAAATTCGAAACCTTTTATGTATCGAGAACCTTATTTAGTTACCTCGTGCTCGAGTTTCCAGAAGTTCGAAAAAAAGAAAGAAATTGAAAATAACGGGACGACTTCATTTACGTTGTAGATTAAAAAGATTTATTTACAAACTGGGTGTTCATAATTTGACACTAAAGATAGGCAAACAGAATAGTAGTACCACTAGGAGAGCACAAGGTTTTCTGAAACAAATAATATGCGAGAAAACATATCATGCATACCTCCATTAGTGCACACTGCTTTCTTCCCCTCCTCCACCCCCTTTGAAAACCCGGCTGCAAGAACATCAAGTCAATAACACTTACCCCAAAACACAGAGATACAGTGCATGGGCAAAGATCAGGCCCGATCCAGAGTTCAAAGATATCAAAATAAGCATAAGCAACCTGATAACCACAGCGTAAACTGCCAGGAAATTCTACCACAGTAGCCTGGAAAGAAACAAAGGCAAACTAAGGGAACTTGAGTGAAAATCGCGTTTTATTGTTCATCCCAATACATGGAGCAACACTTACGTCAGCAAAGAGATTACGTGCTAAGAATAGAGGATATAAATGGGTTCAGTTTCAATCATACCAACACTTAAAGAGGTTCTTTAGATATTCTGATAAATAAAGTCCTTTCTCAAGTGAAATTCCAAGAGGGAAAGTCGACTCTTCAACGGAAGGGAAAAACGCTCAAGAACATTACCTTTTGTCAAGCAATACAACCCAGCAGTGCCTACTTTAAAGAGAGTTTTTTTTTAAATTAGGGATATACATAGAGAGCCTCCCATTATATCTTGAACAAAAGTTGAATATCGCTCAAACAGTCGTGAAATCCAAACTCTAATTGCAAATAAACTTTGCATTTGCGAACAGCGTAAGTGAAGACCTGTTACAACTTTTAAATTCTGTAGTAGCTCCGAGAACTTCGATTGTATACGAGGAACTGATCTCAAACCAACAATCTCAACAACGAACATAGAAATATCATAACTTCTCAACATGAAAAACTAATTGCCTCCTAGCATTAATATTTTGTTACAAGGCTGTTGTCAGAACTATTCTGAAAACGTTCTCTTTTCCATAGATCATCAAATTGTCGAGGAAACACTGGATTTGGAGAATGATGACTGTAGCAATGACGACATCTCAGTTAATGACGACAATGATGATTTAGCTATAGAGGACACACTGACTGAAAGTACTGCGGACGAGCTCGAAGGAGATAACCTGTCTAAGTTCCTTTTCAAAATAAAGGAGGAAAACAAGCTTACTCAAACGTGTGTTCAACAAATTGCCACCATGATCAAAAAGCTTTTCCAAGGTGCTGTGGGCAGAATTAAAAGAAATGCAGAGCAGTGTTTATCAAACGGTGGAGTAGATAGCGCTAACATCCCTGGTTTTGATGCGGTGTTCTCGGACGAAGTTCTGGATTACAATGACGTAATGGTGTCCAATCTGGAAACTTTCCATAACAGAGAGGGTATCAATATCCCATTTATTGTAAGTGAGATTTTATAACGTACACTAATTGGTAAAAAATATATTGATTGTCTCGTTTAGCTTTCTCAGTTAGCTACTGATTTTCAGCCCTAGTTAAAAGTATAGCACAATTCAGTTTAAGCTTCTTGCCTGCGTAATCAAATGAGAACTATTCTTGAAAAGTGTAGGCACGGTGGCAGACTTCAACCTTAAATATTGAAAAGGGAAGGTAAATGGATACCTCTGACGGTGATCGCTTAAAATTTAAAACCCCCGCGATCGGCAAAAAGCTAAAGATATTACCTTGTCAAAGCAGCTTTTGTAGGGGATTAGCTTGCCACTGCAACACTTGTTTGTTTCGACTGTTTTATTGATCAAGACCTTCGTCTTACAACAACTGACAACACTGATTACAACTCAACTCTGACTTGCAGTTTTTGCTCTCCCTATTTAATAATGACCAGTTGCAACAACTACAAGAAGGTAAAATCGAAGAAGAAAGGCGGACCCACTGGTTACAAGTTTCATTAATTTTAGAACAGAAATTAATTTGAGAACTTGTTGAAAAATGTTCTAGCTCATCCCTATTAAAAAAAAATAACCCTCAGAATATTATCACTGTTTTAGGAACCTCAAAAACATGTGCTTGGAAGACGGAGAGTCGTCAGAAAAAGCGGAAACAAAAGGAGAATCCTCATGACGGAGGATGTGTTTTATTACATACCATTCCTTTGCTCTTTGGAAATTCAGTTGCGATCAAAGAGTATATTGGCTATGGTTCTCAATGGTCCTGACACTTCCCAAAATGAAAATGTCCTAACCAACTTCTGCGATGGGACGGTTTTTCAAAACCACAAATTGTTTAGCAATGACCCGGCCGCCCTGCAAATTTTGTTGTACTTTGACAACATAAATCTGAGCAACCCTCTTACCAACAAAGTACACAAGATAACATTATTTTATTACCAACTTGGCAATATAAGAAAGGAGTATCGATCTAAACTGGATTCAATCCACCTTTTCGCGGTCTGTTAGACAAGCTATATGCGATTTTATGGGTTGAATAGCACTTTAGAGCCCCTTGTCAGGGAATTGAAAACACTTGGTTCTAACAGGGGTTACCTGTTTTGTGTTTTGGATGGGCACGTGCAACTTTGAGTTGCGGTTATGGCTTTTCTTGCTGACACTCCCGCTAGCCACCTAGCAGGAGCTTTCAAAGAAAGCGTTGGTGGAGCAAGAAAAAAGTGCCGCCATTGCATGGCAAGTTTTGAGACGATGAATGCGTGCTTTACGGAGGAGAAATTTACGTTAAGGAATGGACTAGATCATGAAGAACAGCTAAAGTTAATTGAAAACGCACCCACAAAATTTTTAAAATATTATTCAAAGCTTTTTGGGTTAACGGTCGGTCAAAGTTGGAAGAAGCGCCTTATTTTAATGTTTGCCAACAATTACCTCAAGATGTTATGCACGTCTTTCTGGAGGGCGTCATTTCTTACCAACTGAAATACTTGCTAAATTTCTATATTAAGGAAAAAGGTTACTTCACCTTAGTGGATTTAAACAATGGAATTCAAGGTTTCCCATATGGCTATTCTCACATTAAAGACAAACCCTGTGTTATAAAAAAAAAATCCGACCAGGAACGGCAAAGTTCAAGTAATCTGGGCCAAGGCGCCGCTCGTATGTGGCTTTTGGCACAGGTTTTGCCTTTAATCTTGAGTTCACTAGTGGACACAGACACAGAGCATTGGGTGTGTTTTGCTTCTCTTCTGGAATTAATGGCAATTTCATTTTCTGACACTATCTGCCAAGAAACGATTTTGTACCTAAAAACTGCCGTTAAAGAACACTTGGCCTTGTTTAAGAGAGTTTTTCCTGACGCCCCAATAATTCCGAAGCAGCACTTCCTTGTCCACCTTCCAAGTCAGCTATTCAAGTTTGGGCCATTAATAAGAAGTTGGTGCATGCGTTTTGAGGGCAAACATGCATATTTTAAAGACCTATCTAAAAAAATTAAAAATTTTAAGAATATTGCACTCTCGTTGGCATTGAAACATCAGAAAATTGAATGTGCCAAAAATATGACTGTGGATGACGATGTGGACGGTAGTGCTGAGTCCAGCTCCCTCTTTAGAAGCGATGTGATATTTGGTAAGAGTAAAAGTCTTCTGGGGAATGATAAGGAGTCTGCATGA